CCTTTAGCTGTCTGCCCCCTGCTCCTTGGCCAAGGCGGAGAAGCTGGGAGTTCAGCAGCAGGCCCATTATTGTCCCTCATCCTGGAAAAATTACCAAAGCATGCATTCTTTGACAGGAAGTCACCAAGGTCTTCTTTGCTCAAGAACAGGTGAGAGGAAAGATCTATTTCGGTAGCTGTGAACTTCGTAAGATAGGCCCTGAGCAGCAGTCAAGGAAAATCAGGACAGGAAGCTGGGATTAGCACCCCGTGCATCGCCCTGCCCCCACCCCCCACGTCTGCTCAGCAGCGCTTCCCGGCAGTCCTGGCGTCTAAAATCAGCAAGACCGGTTCCACCTCCTCCTCTGAGCCTCAGTCCCTGTCTCCAGGGGAGGGGGTGGGGGTGAGGTCTGTGGACAGCGCATTCGCTGCCCTTACGGGTCTAATGCAGTGGTTCTCAACCTGTGGGTAGCGACCCCTTTGGGGGTTGAACAACCCTTTCACAGGGGTCGCCTAAGACCATCCTGCATATCAGATATTTACATGACGATTCATAACAGTAGCAACATTACAGTTATGAAGTAGCAACGAAAATAATTTTATGGTTGGGTCACAACATGAGGAACTGTATTAAAGGGTCGAGGCGTAAGGAAGATTGAGAACCACTGGTCTAATGGCTTCAACAGCCACCAACAAACAGAGATGGGGCACTGAGGTCACAGGCCCGGGGAGTGGGAGGGCACCTTTCCCGCTCCACCCTCTTCCAGAGAGAAAGACACACCTGTCCTTGAGCTCACCATCAGCGGCCTCGACCGAGGAGGTGCCTGTGCGTGCAAGGCGCCTTCTGAACACCGGGACACCGTAGCGTAGCCTCCTGGTTCCGGCGCTGGTGGGAGTGAAGACCCACCCATGAAAAGAGCGAAGATACAAGACTGCAGAGTCACCGTGGATCCTGAAGAGAGGACGCCTCACTGAGGGATGAGTTCTGAGGGAGGGGAGGCCCTCTGCGGGTGGAGAGGGCACCCCAGGCTGGGGCACTGCCCGAGCAGAGGTGCGGGTGCAGGGAGTGGACAGGGCCTGTGATGATCCAGTGAGTCAAACTGTCTGGCTGAGCTGGAGGAGCTGGGCAGCCGGAGGTCCCAGCAGCCCAGGCAGACACAGGTCAGACTCGAAGGCCTGGTTATGGAATTTGGGATTCACCATGTAGGTAATGGAGAGCTCTTGGTGGGATGTGAGCACGAGAGAAATAAGGGGGCGACGTGCACACAGCCAGGTTTTAGGAAGATGCATCGGGGTTCCTCACATCTTTGCTTCTGTCAACCAGGATTAGAGAGAACAAATGTCCGATGGGGTATCTTCCCAATGGAATATAATGACAATGTTGGTAGAGAACAAGCATGTCAAACTAGTGGCCCACTGGCCGCATGCGGCCCACAATGAATATTTTTGTGGTCCAGCCAATATAACGGTATGCAAGAAACATTTTAATAAAAATTCCGTAACTTAATTTTTACAATATCCTGTTATTCATAATTATTAATAACGAACTACAACGTTCGCTAATGACTGATTACTATAATCGTGTTGCATTCATTTCCCTTATGCACCTTACTCGCAGACCCACCATTTCTCTCCACTAATACTAGCAGCGAATATTTTAGCAGCCGATTGCCGTGTCATTAGTCTTGGACTGACTTGTTTGCTGTGCGCAACAGGAAATACTTCGCTTTCAGAGAACAATAAAAATAGGTTTATTTGCCTTACGCTTATTCATTTGTGCAGTTATTCAGTGTCTGGTAAGTTAATGTTCAAGAAAAAATATTGATTTTTATTAAAATGTTCTATTACTTTATGTTAACAACGACTCATTTATTTCAGCCCTTTGTATCCAGCATGTCTCTATCAAAATAAACCTACGTTTCTATGAAAATTGAAGCTTTTGGGTTTTTTGCGGCCCACATAAACCTTGTTTATTTGGCCCGTGTTAGCCTTTGAGTTTGACATGCTTGGTACAGAATGTATCCATAGGGTGTCCCAAAGAAGTGTGTACACACTTTGAATAACTATTAATTCCAATGGTTCGTTCTTTTGAGATTTAACCCATTGGAAATGACTATTCAAAGTGTGTATACATTTTTGGGAGACACCCTGTATTAATGTGGAATGATGTCCAAAAGAGCTGAGAAAACAATCAATAAGCATAGTAAGATCTTATTTCTATTTTTTTAAAATATATTTTATTAATTTTTCACAGAGAGGAAGGGAGAGGGATAGAGAGTTAGAAACATCGATGAGAGAGGAACATCGATCAGCTGCCTCCTGCACACCTCCTACTGGGGATGTGCCCGCAACCAAGGTACATGCCCTTGACCGGAATCGAACCTGGGACCTTTCAGTCCACAGGCCGACGCTTTATCCACTGAGCCAAACCGGTTAGGGCTCTTATTTCCATTTTTAAGATCACAGGTATATCTGTGTGTGTGTGCCTGCACGCGTGTGCACGTATGTGTGTGTGTGTGTGTGTGTGTGTGTGTGTGTGTGTGTGTGTGTAGAGAGAGGGAGGCAAGGAGGAAGGAAGAGGAAGGAAAAAAGACAGAAAAGATACAGAGACAGGGAGGGAGGCAGGAAGAGAAGCAACTACAGAGTTGCTGTCAGGCCTGACCACACCTCCCAGCCTCCCCCAGGGGCTCCTGCAATTGATCCCTGCACTCATCTACCGTCTCCACCTGGGGCATTTTCTGGCCCCAGGGAGGCAGTCCTGAGGCTGTCCCAGGAGCAACCCTGAAGCATGAAGGGACAGGAGTTGATGGTAAGCTCCCCAGCCTCCTGGCCTCAGTGGGGCAACTCTGAGGGGTCCTCCCCACCATTTCTCAGCGCTCCCCGTGGCCTTGCGCCCCAGTGTTCCCAGTGACAGCCCGCTCACAAACGCACAGCCTATTGGCTTTTCTCCTCTTCCCACTTCTCCACTCCCTCACTGTGCTTCCTGAGATTTCCTTCCAAAGAAACGGCATGCTCCCAAATCCAGGCCTTTTCGGGGATCCAAACTAAGACACCAGCCTCCCACTCTCTCCCTATCTGCCCCCAGACTGCTGAAAACTCCAGGCAAAAGCTATTCTAGTAGCTCTAGGACAGATGTGTGTTTGGTGAAGTGAAACACTGCAGTAAACATTAAAGAAAATTGGTCTAGGAATATAGTGGTCAGTGAATCAAGCTGAGGCAAACTGGAGGCAGGGAGGCCAGAGGAGGCCATCACCCTCCCCCCTCTAAAGGAGCCCAGAGCAGGCTGGTGGTGACTGGTTCAATACCTTCGATAGAAGATTGCCCGTTAACCCTACGCAAATCGTGTGCTTTGGAAGACAGGGCTGAACTAAAACGATCCTGCTTCTATTCCACCGGAGTTCTTGGTCAGAGGAAACGGAAGCATTTGCTATTTGAAGAAAGGAAAAGCCGCGCACCTCTCTGCCAGAGCTATTTTGCTTGTAGAAGATCTAGCATCAGTTCGGCGACTTGTCCCGCCTACTATTCTTTCCTGTGAGCCGTGGACCACTCCACCTACTTCCTTTTCACTTGTTTGTTTTTTTGTTTTGGCGGATTTTGTTTGTAGTCTCCCAAGATAATATGTACCCAAAGTCCTCCCTGTTGCCTTGGTAAAAATCTATTCCTGGGACTAAACTAAACATGGAAAAAGATCACTCATCAAATGTGTTCATCGCAGCATTATTCTTAAGAACTGAACATTGAATGTTACCCCGTATCTATTAATAGGGGAACGTGTGTGTAAAATCAAGGGGATTTACGCGACTGGAAAAATGAGCTCCCGCCTTACTCCCCCAGAAAAGGAGAGAAAAGGGCCGTGCCTAAGAACTCCCGTGGAAACTTCCCTGCTTCTTTCGGTACCAGTGAGGACACAGCCAGCAGAGAGAGGACCCAGCCGGGGGCCCTTTTCTTGGGCTCGGTCCCTCAAGGAGCTAGACTGGAAGGAGCTAGACTATGAGGGTTAGAGGAGAGGAGTGGAATGCCGCTTTGCAGGATTCCACGCCCACCTGGGCACGACATGGTGAAGGAGCCTTGAGAGCACAACGTGGAGACGTTCCGTCTTGTTGTGGTGGTTTTATTTTGTTTTTAGAGGCTCTGATGATGCTGTTTCTGCACATCGTGGTCATCCTGTGAGATGTGTGTATGGGGTTTTGTCCAACAGGCCCCGGGGGCACTTCTGGGGCCGGAGAAGCACACAGATCGCATCAGTGGGATACCCGTGATGAGGACCGGCCTCAAAGTCCGTCCACCGCCTTGGAATTGGGGTGCCAGTGACCATGGGGAGCACCTCCTAAAGCTCCCAGAAAATCACCCCGACCAGATGACTCAGGGGAGAGACTGACTGGTCGGGCTGGGGTCTGGGGCTGGGACAGGGCACGACGAGGCCAGTTCCTGTGAGTCAGGGTGGGGTTTTCTGAAAGGCAGTTCTGTTTTGCAGAATTCCTTTGTTTGTGGGCAACTGAGACTCAGCCTGAACTGGCTTAAGGAAAAGGGGTGTTTTTCTGGCTCATGCGATAGGGAAAGACAGGGAGAGAGCTGGTTTGTAGTTTAACTGGCTCGGGAGTCAAAAGGTGTCTCCAGGCCCCTTCTCCTTCGTTGCTCCCTCTGTGCGGTGGTCTCACTCCCTCCTCCTCAGGCAGGTGGGAGGCACACCCCAGGCACCTTCAGACTT